GGAGAGGCCCCGAGCTACGCCCAGCGCGATCAAGTGCCGCATCGGCCAGTTGAGGACGTGACCGTCTTGGTGCGACGCCTCCTGGAGCAGCGCCGCCAGGTTCCCGTTTGGCATGTAGTCGTAGACAAGGAGCTTGACGTCGCCGCGGATGTAGTAGCCGCGCAGCACCGCCAAGTTCTTGTGTTTAACCCGGCCAACTTTCTCGGCCTCGCTCCGGAACAGGCTCTCCTCGATCACGCCGTCTGGGAGCCGGCGGATCGACAGCACCGTCCCGTCTTGGAGGCAGGCCTTGAAGACGATCCCGTAGCGCGTCCTGCTCAGGACGTGCTCCTCGTCGAACTGGCCGGTTGCTTCCAGGACGCCCGAGTATGGGATCGGGCTGTAGAACATGACCAGCTTCTCCTCCGGCTCGGACAGCTCTAGAGGCCGAGGTGCCGCGGAGCGTTTCTTGGCGAGGAGAAGTATCGCGAAGAAGCAGACGACGGTGACGAGTACCAGGCACAGCACCCCAACTCCTACTGCTATTCCGATCACCGCCTGCTTGCTCAGCCGCAGCATCTTTCGCCTCCTCGGGCAGTCCTGAAGCGGGGCTCCACACAGCGATGGATTCTCGGCGAAGGAACTCGAGCCGAACTGACTTCCAAGTTCTCCTGGGATGACGCCTTCCAAGCTGTTCCCAGAGACGTTGAACACTCTGAGGCGAGTGAGGTTTCCGAGTGACTGTGGGATCTTGCCGGTGAGATTGTTGCCGGAGAGATCCAATTCTTGTAGCTGGTTGAGCATGCCAAGGAGAGAAGGTATGCCACCCGCCAGTGAGTTGTCTTCCAGGTGTAGAAACTCCAAGTTCCTGAGCACGCCTAGCTCGGGAGGAATCGCCCCGCTAAGTTGGTTACTTCCAGCGTCGAGGCTGCGAAGATCTTTGCATCCGACGACCTCTGCTGGCATGGACCCCGCGATCTTGTTACCATGCACGTCCAGCTTCTGGAGCTTCGACAGTCTGCCGAGCTCAGGCGGCAAGCTTCCTCGCACGCTCGAGTTCCGGAGCTCTATAGAAACCAGGTTGCTGCAGTTGCCGATTTCTGGAGGGATGTCACTCGATAGCAAGTTGTTGGACATCGAAAACGACGTGAGCTGCGCCAGGGAGCCAATGCTGGATGGGATCTGCCCGCTGAGAGTGTTCCCGCTCACGTTGAGCAGCCGCAGACTCGCCAGATCACCAATTTTGGCTGTAACCGAGCCGTTAAGAAAGTTGTTCGACAGATCCAGCGACTGAAGCCGCGTGAAACCTGTCAGGCTTTGAGGAATGCCACCGGTAAGCTGCTGGTTGCTAAGATCAAGCACCACCAGCGCCGGAAACTGGCCCCGAACGAATCCTATACTTCCAGAGAGGTTGTTCCGGCTGAAGTCAAGAGCTTGGACCCTGCCCAGCGGCAGGCCCGGTGGTATACTTCCCGAGAAACCATTCCTGCTGAGGTTGACCACCTGAAGACTAGAGGACTGTAGCAGCGACGCTGGAAGTTGGCCGCTAAGATTGTTGGCAGCAACAGAAAAGTTCGTGAGCTGCCTCAACGAACTAAACTGCACGGAAAGCTCACCCGAAAGTTGGTTCTCGTCGAGCAGCATAACGGTGATAGCGGCGAGATTACCGAACTCGGATGGAACGGGTCCGGTCAAGTTGTTGCGAGAGAGCGAAAGATGCTGGAGCTGCTGGAGCTGGCCGAGCTGGGCGGGAAGAGACGATGATAACTGGTTTGATTGAAGATCGATGAGTTGGAGGTTCCTACATTGGCCAAGCCCAGAAGGAATAGATCCGGATAAGCCGTTGAACGAGAGATTGAGCTGCTTCAGCTGGAACAAGTTTCCAAACGAAACAGGAATGGAACCTGTAGTTTTGAAATAAAAGACAAGCTTTTAGCACTGGAAGAAAACAAGGAGACGAAAAAAGAAAGAAAGAAAGAAAAAAAAAAAAAAATCGTTCTCGTACCAGTGATGTTGTTGTTGGCGATCTCGAGTACTTGCACATTGGAGAGGTTGCCGAGACCTTCCGGAAGAAATCCTCCAAGCCTGTTGTTCGAGGCAGCAAAGGTCTGGAGATTTTTCAAGCGACCCAGCTGCGATGGGAGCTGGCCAGAGAGTGCATTGTTCCCGAGGATCAGCGAGAACAAGCTGCTGCAGTTGGAGAGAGCCGCAGGGACAGTGCCGCTGAGATCGTTGGAGCCCAGCACGAGACTAGCCAAGAAGAGGAGCTTGCCGAGAGTGTCTGGGATGCTCCCACTTAATCTGTTCTGCGAGACATCGAGCGAAGATAGTGACGAGCAATTCCCGAGCTGCGAAGGAATCACACCTGTGAGCTGGTTGTTTGACAGGTTGAGCACCCGGAGGCTGCTCAATCCGCCAAAGAGGGGTGGAATGCCTCCGCCCAGAAGATTGGAGGACAAGTCCAGAACCATGAGACCCTGTAAGCTGCCAATGCCGGCTGGAATCGGCCCAGAGAAGAGATTTCTACCCAGAACCAGGCTCCGGAGATTGACGAGGTTGCCTATCGACGCTGGGATGGTGCCGTTGAATCGATTCGAGTGGAGGCTCAATCGTCGCAGGCCCACGAGATTGCCGATCTCATCTACACGGCAAGAGAGGATGAAATCTCTGGGAAGAAGAACGAGACACGAAAATGGAAAGATTACCTGAGATTGCTCCTCGCAGCTCCAGGCCAGGAAGGCGGAGCTCCACGACTCGGTTGTTCAAGCAAGAAATCCCACGCCAGGAGCACGGCGCGGTGGTGGAGTTGATCCATTGAGCCAGCGCTCCCTCCGGATCATTCAGATTGCTCTTGAAGGCGATGAGAGCCGCAATATCGCTCTCAGCCGATCCTCCCTGCGCCGCCACGAGCTCACCGCAAAACCCCCAAACCAAGAACGCGAGCAGCAGCAGCGCCGCCATCGCCTCGGACGATCTTGCGACGACGCTCATCCCGCAAGATTCGTGCGCGCCGCCTTCCTTCTCCTCATCCCGAAATATCGCGCGGCGACCCGGATTTTCGAGCCGCCATTCCCTGCCCTCACGAGCGCTGCGAAGATCACACTACCCTAGCTCGCCGCGGCCGAATCAAGAAGGCGGCAGCGCTCTCTCGGGGGAGCTCGCTCATCGATCAGACAAGATCACGAATGCTCGTCCGCTAGCGCGCAGCGCCATGGATTGAATCGATCGCTGCCCGGATTCTCGCCTCGCCGCGCACTCCTATTCCCCGCCCCTGGCCGTTGTTTTCTTGCACTGACGAACGAGAGCTACGAGTAGAGGGCACAATGTACGCATATTCCAGCGTATACGTTACTGCCACAAGCAAACAGACGCGTCAGTTAATTTAACCCCGCTCAGTTAGAATTTGACTCGCGCCTTCGTTCGCGCCTGATTTTACTGCGATGCTTTCGCCATAACGTCACGTCCTCCTACCCATAGACCCTAAAATTTAATCGCCACATTGGCGCCAACTTTGGCATTATCTAGATTGGTGCATTCTAGAAACCATGGAAAATACCTTTGAGCCTTTACGAATTATTTGATCAATCGAGAACATCCATGGATCGCGATGTATCATGCGACGTTTGCCCCACCTCACAAAGATTCCTTAAAGATGTTTTTGTCCCAAAAGAGCCCCTGGGTTTGATTGGATTGGAGGGGGAGAGCGAGCGATCCAAATTCCTTGCAAAGGTTTTTGGCGAGAGAGAGCGATAAGGTATAGTAGCAACACGAATGAGAGCAAGCTACGTGACACGACTCGGACGGCCAGGATGGAGCCCACAATCCGACGGACGGATGCGCGCCATGTGGGCAGCCTGTCGGGTGTAAGATCGAACGGCCAGCGGTGGCAGGGACCCTCGATCCGCGGGTTTTCCGGCCGTTGGTCGCGCTTCCCAGATTCCGGAATCCAGGACGCCAAGAGCGCTTTCAAATGCGGTAGAATCCAGCCCCCGTCCATTTCACTGCCAGAGACCTCTTCTATCGCTCTTGCTTATGACACTGCGAAGAACACAGCGAGGCACTGGAGTGGTAACTTTGATGATCAGTGGTACCTGGTAAGGAGAACTGGCTTGGTTCAGTCTGCCCGTCCCTCTTCAATTCATATAAAACTTATCCTTCCCGCGAAAAACGAGTATAAAAATCGCTGTTGGAAGCTTGCCTGCGTAGGAATGGAAAGAAAACTGCGAAGAACTCTAAACTCTATTGCTTTGCGGGAAAAGTACCTACCAGCCTGGGCTGCGTCGTTTTCGTGCCTGCTTCCACTCTTGGCTGGAAAACACAAAGATATTAAAACCAGCCACGATCAAGCGGAAGAAAGATAGAAAAGCATGGAAGCTCACCTGATTGATATTGATACCGAGTAGCCATTACTGCTGGGAGACTGAGAAGCAGAGTTTGTTACGCTGGAGCAAACGGTGTCTGCGTTTCCTGTTCTTCATCCCAAAGTCGTGACGTATAAGTCCACTGTGTATAGACAAGCCCTTCAAAACTCCTCCCGAGTCCGTATCTTACTCGCTTTGATCCGCCGGGTTCTTTCCAACTTTGGAAAACATTTCGCTGCCAAGTTCTTTGGTACTTCACGGGCTCTCCAGAGTCGATATAGTTATATACTTCGAGGAAGAGGACGTGTGTGTTCTTGGCGAATCCAGCGCATGGCGAACCATAGCTAGAGTTCTTTTTCAGTGTGTCGTTGCGGAGCTTCATAAAAACGAGCTTGTCACCATGTGTATGAGTGACACCTTCAATCATGGAAAGGAAAAATATGCTGAGGGAACGAAGTTGAAAATAGAGGAAGCACTGACCTTGTTTTGTCTGGAATGACTTCATTGCTACGTGGCCCTTTCAGCAGTGTTCCTTCGTCCAGTTCTAGCATACTACCTGTATTGAATACGACTGCCATCCAAATGCTGTTTGTTGATTTGGCATGAGCAGTGCCTCCTTGGCATTACCCGTGCCAGACAGTAGCATAGCTCAGCAGGAAGTTCACGTCGCAAACTTATGATGAATTTCTTCGAAGTAACAGCAAGCGATCCTAGAACAACCAGCCAAAACATGTCAATAAATCAATCTTACAAGGGCATTCAGCTTCTGGCCACGTTATCCCCTAGAACTGAAACAAATCCTTCTGTCATAAGCGTATTCAACGCAGTTTTGAGCTGCAAAAAAAGAAAAGTATAAAATCTGAGGCTTAACATGAAACAAAGAAATTTACATCTTGTAAGCTCATCTCCTGGTTGACATTCGCTCGAATGTCTTCAAATAACTGCATTCAAAACCAGAAATTGAAGCAAAAATACAAAAGTCATAAAAATACAAAGTAGACCTCTGTTATTCGTAAGCTCGCTCCTGCTTGAATTCTGTCCATGATGAACACTTTTACAGAAGAGACGACGTTCTCGCGCCTTGTGCGTTCACTGGCGGAAACTCCCGTTGTGATGAGGTCCATGTCAATAATTCCTGGTGCAGAAAACAGAAGTCCCTCTACGTTTGTGAACAAGAATTTCAGTACCTGTGGAATGATCAGTAGCCGATTGCTGTAATGCTACGTCCAACAATCTCAATGCTTCGACCGTGTCGCACTCGTCAACCTGCAGTAGAATTAGGATAACTAGGAGCTTTGAACAAAAAGTTGTTGGTACCGTTTCAGAAAAGCGCATTCGTGCAAGAGCTTCACTTATTCGAATGAGACTTTCGAGCTGACGAGGTGTGGCTGTTATTACCTACATCCTGTACCGTTTAGCCTAGAATAAAACGAAGACAAAGTTCATACCTTCTTGCGACTTCCAGGAAAGTTTCCTCGTCTTCTCATGTTCACATATCCCTCAATCAGACGTTCTGCAGCCTCATTGGACAATTTTGGGTGTATACGCTGCCTAGCATACGTGATATATGCAGCTATTGTAGGCAAGTCTAGTGCTTCGAGCAATTCAACCTGAACCACAACTTTGATTAAACACGAATGATGGAAGACACGTAGCCTTACCTCCGGATCCTCGTAGTGCAAAGCAACCAGGTGCCTGGCTAATCGCCGGTCTGTCTGTTCATCCGGCTTATCCAATACCAAATATATAAGATCGAACCTGAAGAATTAAAACATGTAAACAACATCAAGAAAGGATGAGTTTCACCTGGATAATAAGGTTGGAGGAAGCTGGATGTTGTCAATGACAGACAGTCGTGCATTATAGCGAGACCCACTGGGATTGGCACAAGCTAGAACTGATGTCCGAGCATTTAGAGTGGCGATTATTCCAGCCTTAGCAACAGACACAGTTTGTTGTTCCATAACCTGTAAAACAAAATGCAACGATGAACTTGCAATGTGTCTTGTACCTCGTGGAGCATGCTTCTCGCGTTTTCAGACATCTTATCAAATTCATCTATGCAGCAGATTCCTTGATCACTCAGAACCAGAGCACCACTTTCTAGAACCTGATAACAAAAGCAAAAGACTGTTCAGAGGAATAGTTTCAAACAAATGCTTACAGTTTCTCGAGTTTCAGGATCTTTGGTAACATATGCTGTAAGACCAACCGCAGAACTACCTCTACCGCTCGTATAAATTCCACGAGGAGCAATCTTATGCACATACTGAAGGAGCTGAGATTTGCTGGTCCCTGGGTCTCCAACAAGGAGGACGTTTATGTCACCACGAAACGAAGCTCCTGACGAAAGCTTTTTCGTAGAACCGCCAAACAGCTGCAAGAGAATGTTATAAGAAAAGCCGATTTATCCAACGGACTCACCTGGCAAAGAAGACCCTTCTTTATGTCTTCCAACTCCCATATGCTGGGAGCAAGGGACCTCGTAAGCTTTTGATAGATATCAGGAAGCTTCGAAAGTTCCTTGAGCTTGTTAATCTGAAATCTTTCTCAAACAGTGGTGTATATGAAAAAGATGCGTACCTTGGCTTCATAGACAGCCGGAGAGGTATCTGTCTCTAGGAAAATCTCATTATTATCAAACTCAACTCCACCATGCATCTGCATACGCGATTTATCTGCCTTTTTCACATGAAGGCAATCAATGTAGGTCTGTAATATGTAGGTGAGAAATGCTGTAACACACGAAAATATTTTTGTAAAACACCTTGTATAGAGACTTTAGAGTCCGTTGATTTGGTCCAACGCGCACTGCCATGGCTCTAAAGACACCAGTCACCTGAAATATCCTGAAGTTGGGTACACAAACAGTTGCAACGAAATACTTTACCTCCACACGATCACCTGGTTTCGCAGCATCGACTAACTTGTCATGCATAAGAAGACTAACTGTGTGAGGAGTTTCCCCTTCAGGAATAGCATCTGGTGTTTCTTGTAGTCTTACAATCTGCTTGTCTGTGAAGCTGAAGAGGAGAATAGTCTGCCTTAATAATTTTGTTTTCGACAGAGAGGAACTTACGTGCAGCGATTATGAATCATTGTCATGGAGTTCACGGCAGAGCACGCAGGATTCGCGCATTTGGACGGCTCGTTTACACGACCTGCAACAATAGCTTGATATAGAACAAGGACAAGAAAAAGATTCACCTCGATCAACCGGTGTCACTTCAGGAAAATGGCCGCACATGAGACATTGAAAAAATGCTTCCTTTATCTCTGGTATAACTGAGCTGCACCTTATGATCATTCCCTTCACGGAAACGAGCTTTTCAATATCGGAGGGATTTAGATCCCGAAGATTTGTGCTCAGTTTCAAATTAAATATTCTTGCCTGAAAGAGTTTCAGGTTTGGGAAAAGAAGAAAAAGGAAATCAGGTACCTGAATATGATTGTTCCAGTCCGGCCTACGTTCTCTAGCTATGTCTCCCACAACCATATCAAAAAGCGGAATAACCTCAAGCGGATAACGGACAACTTGAGAGTAGAGCTCCTCGTTGTAGGCAAATATATTCTGAGCATCAATATTTAGCGAGCGTCCTTCTAGTTCGATAACCTGCACCCACAGTTCACCCTCAAGGACGATCGATGGCAAGTTTACATTTTTACCTGATCTAAAAGCTGGATATACTTGGCCTCCACAGCCTCTGGGCTTTCACGAAATCTTTCAAAAAATAAATGCATAGCTTCGCGGGTATCGTCGATGCTAATGTTGGTACCCCAGACATAAGTTTTCGATCCCGGATCCTCAACTGGGGCCTGAGAAAAAACCTTCAGTTCAAACTAGAAGCACAACAATGTAGCACAAGTAAAAGTTCACCCCTTCGGCTTGTGGCTCGGCTTCTCTTGCACGGCCTCCAGTAAACTTAAAATAATTTGGCGTTCTATTGCCGAAACCTGGGGTTCCGGGGAGGATCGGCGTGCTGTGACCCGATGATCCAGCGCTCGGCGATTGACGCGGCCGGCGCGCCGAGCCATTGCGCGCCGCCGACACTGGAGTGGCCGGAACCCGATCGGACAGGCCTGGGGATTCTGCGAGAGAAAGAAGGCGAGCCACATTGTCAGGATTTCAGTGATTGAAGCGAGAAAAACCCACCAGGAAAGACCAGAGGCGACGATGGTTCCGCCATAGACGCCGCTGCTCCCCTAAAACCCTAGTTCTTGCTTTCCCGCGCTCTCCAGCTGGAGATTTATTTGCCGCTTAAATATTTAAATTAATAATGATTTTAACAACTAAGCTGGAGTAGCTCAGCCGGACAGAGCGTGTAGCTGTTAACCACAAGGTCGGAGGTTCGAACCTTCCCTCTAGCGTATATTTATACTTGTAATTTATACAAAATATCCAGGGGTCAAGGGTTCGAAGCCTGGGAATGGCTTTCGAACTTTAGGGTTTTGCCTAGCTATGGCGTTGTGAGGCTGGTCATGTCGACGCTATCACTTCGTTGCAGCGTGTTCTCGGAGCCATCGTCTTCCTCCACTCGCCAAAAGAGGGCTATTTCTTGTGCGTCTTGTTCCAGCTCCGAGAATTCGCGATGCAGGGATAGACGAAGCACGAAATGTAGGCTTGGAGGGCGTGTAGGAGTAGGATTTAGAGCTGGGAAAGGCGTAGGCGAGCAGCGATGGCTTTTTGCGGGGAGAAGAATTAAAGCGAGGCCGCTGCTTTGTCGAAATTCTTACCAAAGTAGCAGGACTGCGGCGACCCCATCGGATTATTATCAAGTTCTCGGGGTCAGTAGGAACGCTAGCAAGCAGGAAATCAAAACTTCTTATAGGAAACTCGCTCGAGAGGTATGATTTTCCTCCTATGCATTTCACAAGCTTGCATTTTGATAACTTTGTTGTTTTTCAGTTTCATCCAGACGTAAACAAGGAGTCCAATGCGGAAGAAAAGTTCAAGGAGATCACTGCTGCGTACGAGGTAAGAATTGGTCTTTGCATTTCTTTCCATTCGACGAAGATCATTCCCATGTAGGTGCTCTCGGATGATGAAAAAAGAGCCATTTACGATCAATTTGGTGAAGATGGTCTAAAGGGAGGAGGTCCAACTTTCACGGTAAGACACAAACATTTCGATTGATAGAGATGATCTAGAGTTTGTTTGTGTGTGCAGGATAGTCCATTCGATATTTTTGACTCGTTTTTTGGAGGTCGAAGCGGATTTGGAAGGCGCAGAGGCACTGATAATTGGTCTGGAGTTCAAGGAAACGATCTCAGGTATGATCCAACTTGCAAAAAGCTCTTCTGTCGTTTTTCTCTTTTGGATTTTATTCTTTTTATCGTGACAATGTGTGTGTGTCTCTTCTGCAGCTACGATCTGAGCCTTGACTTCAAAGAAGCGGTTTTTGGAGTGGAAAAACAGTTTGACATATGGCATTTGGAAAGCTGCGAGGCATGTAGCGGAACTGGCGCCAGAAGTAAGAGCAGAAAGAAATGCCGAGTCTGTGGAGGAATGGGTGAAGTTATGCGAACACAAGAAACAGCCTTTGGGATGTTCTCACAGGTTAGCGATTCGTCGATAACGTTTGTTTTGTTGGCTCACATTGTTTTTCTCTCTCTCAGGTGTCTACTTGTACAAACTGTGGTGGCGAGGGTGAAGTGATTTCCGATCACTGCAGAAAATGTGGAGGCAAAGGAGGTATTCGAGCGAAAAAAACGATCAAACTAAGTGTTCCATGTGGAGTTGACAGCGGGAGCACTCTCCGTGTTGCTGGTGGAGGAGATGCTGGAGAAAGAGGGTGAGCTTAAATCTTGTGCTTGTTCTATATAGTTTCTTTGTGACTGACTGTGCCCTCTCTCAGTGGTCCATCTGGGGATCTCTACGTCAATCTTAAAATCAGAGACATGCCTGGAATTCGAAGAGACGGCATCAATCTTTACTCCGAGATCTCTGTGAGCTATACGGAATGTATACTCGGGACAACGAAAAAGGTATGTTTCGCTGTTCTCTCGTATCTTAGTCGCATAAAACACAACTCTGACAGGTGAAGACGCTGGAAGGATTCTCGGATCTTCGTATTCCTGCGGGAACTCAACCAGGGGCATGTATAACTCTTCCGAAGATTGGTGTTCCAAGGCTTCGAAAGCCATCACTTCGAGGGGATCACATTTTCTCCGTCAAAGTCTTACTTCCAACCAAAGTCAGGTGGGACTTTAGCAAAACTTTCTTCCTTGTTCTTCTTCGTAAAACCTTATCTTTTTCTTCTTCTACAGTGCCGCTGAGAAAGAACTCGTGGAAGAACTGGCTCGTCTCGAGAAAGGCGCTCAATCCAGGCAAAGAAAATCCCAAAACTCCAAGAGTGAAGCTAGTACGTGGTGATCAAACACATGGTTTGTCTATAAAACATTGGCAAGTGTAAGCGTGTGTCCATCCCCCATGTGAAAGCCAACAGTGGAGATTGAATCGAGTTCTACCATCCTATCTGCCGAAAGAGCTGTGTAAGGATTCCTTTGTTCGTCTGGCAATGGCTCTGACGAAACAATCTTGGTACTTTTGGCTACATTCCTAGGATCTCACAAATTTGGCGAGGGAATCATCACTGTCCTCACTAGAAGTTTTTAGTGCCTTAGAAAAATAACTTGTTAACAATATATAAGGCGTAGCTTCATCAAATCTTAGGCCTTGAAGAGACATAGTTGTTGGAAATTTTTTGTGGATGTTGCTCTCAGCCAATGCCTCACAGCTTGGGTCTTTGGTTAGACAAGAATTTAACACATGTCCAGTTGAGTTTAAAGGTGAAGCCGGATAGCGCCATCCGATGGGGGTGGGTTATAGGATGAAAGGATAGTTGAAGCTGCTGGCGAGCTATTGGAAGACTTCAAGGATTGAGATGCCTCTTGTGGATATAAAGGTTTCCCATTGTGTCATATTCAACACGTTCAACCACAGGAAAGTGAATGAAGATTGGGTTCAACAGTTGATGTAGTCCATGCTCAAGAATCCACAAGTCCCGGACATTGGTGTTGTAATACCATATAAAAATATGGAGGGGAATGAGATCCACATTACTCACTGGTTTTATCGATGAACTGGAGCGCTCCAACGTGATAGTCTCCAGGCAACACTTACGCCTCCCAACGTGCCATAGAGTATCAAGGACAAGTTTCACTTCTGCATCGACTTCTTTTGAGAAGGTCATCACAATATCATCTACAGCAAACGCCAACAAAAGGGAGTGGTTCGAATCATACATCTGGGAGATGCTTAAACACACTTGTTTCCATTGGAAGAAGTTGGATTGTCCAAGGAAGCTCGGCACTGGAAAAGTAAAGAAGGGGATTGCTTTTCAGGTTAGTCCAATCATGATAACAGGAGATCTCTCGTACTAAATTCCTTTTTACTGCAGGACTTTGAAGAAAACCTTGAAAAAAGATTGCAATCTCACTTGCTAGTAGATGATAGTGTATCACCCTTGGTTCAATGTCATCAAGGATTATGAGAGTGGAAACCTCTTCAACATACTTGGGAAGCAAGCTGGGAAAAAGGTTAACTCTTCCACAATCTTCAGTTAAGGGCTGAAAGAGATTTTTGGAAGGGTTTTAAATGTATAATAGGAGGTTTGGCATGATTGACCAACTTGAGATATTATTTAATTTCTTATTGGGCATATTTATCCTTGTTTTGAGTTTGACTTGGGTCCCAGATGGAGTATTTAGAAAATAATGTCAAATTCCATTTTGGCCATATTATTTTTGGCGTTTAAATGCTGGAAACTTTAATATTGATCCTATATTATTCTGTACTGTTATTACTTTGCTCATTGGTTGTATATTGAGAGTTAGTTAAACTTGAAACTTGAATCCCACTTTATTGCTTTTACTGAAGAGTTAGGTTTCACACTTTGGTTAACTTCTGATAATTTATTATAAAGTATAAAGTCAAAACCACATGTGGTGCATTTAGTATTATAAGAATAGTCTCAGCAAATACTATTTAATACAGGGAGGGGATTTTGAGTGTATATTGGATGTTTATTTAGTAGTGCAATAAGATTGTACTTTGACTCCAAATTCATATATGCTATAGGAGTCTACTTCTCACTTTTATGTTTTTTTATTATAAATTTATATTAACAATATCTATGCAAACTAAGTCTAACACCACTTAAGTTGCTTATTAGTGCTTAGTATTAAAAGGGGCGATGATATCATATATTTGTCATCTTTTGGTATTTGAAGTGTGTTTTTAATTTAAACATTTGTTGATGGGATTTGAACTCAAGAACTATTATCCATATGCATAAGCATATTGATTCTAAACTTAAATTAGGTTTTTGGATTAGTTTGAGGTTGGACCAAATTAGTTTTTAGAGATTCAGAACTTTTTATTTAAAGTTTTTAACACAATTTGTTTTTCTTTAATATGTTATTAGTAGTTTATTGTTTATCCTTCTCTTGATGACAAGCTCCTGACACTAATAACTTATATATATATGAAAATAACAACAACTTTTGTTTCAATGAAAACATGTGAGATAAATATTCTCTATATTTTCATAAGCATACATTTTTTTTTAATATAAGTTATTTAAATTGCAATAATAATCCTATACAAATAAACATACTAATCATTGCATATGGTTTGCTTAAGTTAATAGAAGTGTTATTTTATATATTAATCCAATTGATCAAATGGAAGTTTATAATTTTAAACATATTTACAATTTATAACACAAGATTAATCTTATTATATATCAACCGGTAGAATGAACTAGAATATACTAAAAGTAAGTTTATAGATTATAAACTTATTTATACATTAAAAATACAAAATTAATCTAAATAAATAACAACCGTTACTTGATAAAGTATCCCAAAATATCAAAATATATTCTATGATTAGTCTTTTTACATTGAAATGTATGCTGGAACATGGGAAGGATGATTATTGAATAGCAGCATCTGGCAATCCAAAAGCTTTGGAGATCATGGTATGAGCAGAATCCCCAGCAGATGGAATGCAACCTGTGAGGCAAGCGCTTCAACTCTTCCAATTGCAACACCCGAGCAGTATATTGTTCAAAGCGTTGACTTTTGATCCTACAAAAAGCTTCTTGGCTGATATCTTAATTGGCTACCTGCAATCTGGGACGGTGTGTTCGATTCGATGCCTTGCCAAAGCCTGGTCTTATTCACCACGAGGCTTCTGGCATTTGCCGAGAAGGGGACTGAATCCCTGTTCTTTGCGATTGCTTCGAAGAAGGATGTAGTCTCCTAGACTGTGTGGCAAAACGCATCCGCTGGGAATATCAAGCTATATCTGCTGAGTCTGATGCCGCAGTGGGATGAAATCGCCTGGACGATCAGGCTACGGGCATCTGGATCGAGCAGGGTTTGTGGAGGCTTCGCAAGTTCTCAATTTCTGGCTGACCATGTTCGGCTTGCGACATCACTATCCCTTGACTATCAAGGGTGTGGAGCACCATCACCAGGAGGAGACAAAGAGCAAGGAGCTTCTGCAGGCAATTCCGGTGTACAAGAAGATCCCACATCGTCGACTGCATCGACAATGGGTGGCCGGATGTTCACAAGCTGCTGCCTTATGATCCTTACGAGAAGGCTGGACAGATTTCAGTGACAGGTAGGTGAGACGAATGAGTTGGGGAGGTTTCTTGTTTTGCCGAGGATCTGTTCAACGCCCTCCGTGCTGGTTTCTCTCGCGGGCTGCTATCTGTGCCGCTATGGATTCAGCTGGCTACATTCTCCTGGCCAACATGTACATGGAAGGGTAGGTCAGATCGATGTTGTTGCCCCTCCGTCCGTGGAACACGATTCTCAGAGCAAATGCCGAGTGTTATTTTCTGGACATGAATAAAGGTTTTTATATCTAAACAAATTTATTTTAAAATCTTTTTGTCTTAGAAGTTCCGCCTTGGCTTGAGTATGACAGGCATGCCGTGCTTTGGGATCAGGGGTCCTGTAATGACTGGGTGGTGCCGGTAATTTGGAGACAATTTAACCTCGAATCTCTGAAGGATGTTAGCAATGATTACTTTGCACTGCACCTCAGAGAACGCCCTTCCAATGCAGGTTCGAACTCCATAGGCAAATGGCATGAACGCCATGGGATGCTTGGCTGCAGTTGCTGTACCATTCTTGAAGCGGGATGGGTTGAATTCATTTACATCATCTCCCCACAGCTCTCGGTCATGATGCAGCGCAACAACATTAACGCTCACCCCCAGTCCTTTGGGAATGAACACGTCCCCCAGCATAGTGTCTTTAATGCACACCCTTGTGATGAGCGGCATTGTGGGATACAGCCTCAATGTCTCTTGCAGAATCATCTCAATCTGCACAAACAAGAACCATACAGCAAGCTCAGTTATGTGGATCAAAGGACAAATCTGATTAACTGGTTACCGTGGTTAGCTTGCTGACATCTTTGGGACTAACAACTTCTCCATCCAGAACTTGGTCAACTTCTTGTCTTGCCTTCTCTTGCCAACTGGGATGGAGAGCCAGCATCAACATTGTGAATGAGAGAAGTGGGGCCAAGCTGATAAACCCTGTAGCATAGAGTGTTTTCAACTCGGCAACAATCACGTCTTCTCTAACATCTGGCTTATCCAAGAGTTTCCCAATAAAATCAACGTTATTGCCTTCTGTCGTCTTCTTTCTTTGCTCTCTCACTTGCTTACGAACAAGGTCATTTAGCTGTTTCCGTACTTTCCACCGCTCAACGTTTATACCGAAGGGGATTAGCCTGCACCACAATATCTTCCGTAAGTCAGTACAGTTGATATGCTTTTTCCTTAAGCCACCTGTACCTGGCAAATGGTAACCAGCTCCAGGTCTCTTGATCATCTTGCAGCTTGAGCAATGTGATGTTATACTTGAGAATGTTCTGAAAGTCATTGTTTTTCAACCCCAGTGTTGTCCTCGCTACAACATCCACATTCAAGCACATGAACTCAACTTGAACATCCAGCTCCCTCTCCACGTCTCCACTGTCCTTCACAAAGGCTTCCCATTTTGCCATGACTTGGCTTGTTGCATTGTTCACAGCTCCAACCATTGCCTGTGCAATAGAGTTCAGTCAACCTTAGACTTTGATTTTGTTAATGCAGTATCACCTTGACTTCGTCAATGTAGTATCTGGGCGCTACAATTTGTCTCTGCCTGGCCCAAGCTTCTCCATTTGCATGGAAGAGGCCCTTATGAAAGATATCATCAGAAAAGACTTTGATGAAGTGGGACTTGACGAAATCCTTGTGCTTCTTCATAAACAGATCCCATATCATCTTGGGCTCTGAGATCACAATCCGGGGCTCCCGCAGCCACCAGTTCAAGTGTACGTTCCCTGAAAATCAAAGTGAATTTGAAAGCACACGAATAATGTTGTGAAATTAAATTGAAGCCCACCATAGAATTTGATGTTCTGTGCGGCCCAGGGAAGAACATGAGGCAGAATATCGTGGCTGATCTCCTTCATGTCAGGCTTCCCATACAAAACATCAAAGATGGGATTCGGAGGATTGGGTGAGCCTCGTATGCCTTGCTTCTCCATCACTGGACGGAGAGCACTGGCCACCCAATAGTAGCGCATGAGGAAGCTGCACACCATCCATAGAACAGACAATGCAAGCACGAGTGCGACAAGAAGAACCGAGATGACATCCATTATTGGTGAGGCAGAGCTGAGACGAGGGCCGTAGAGAATTTATACACCAGCAAGTATTCACAGAGCTGCCCCATGAGACGACCTTGAAAGCACGAGCCTAAGATCTTTGTGCTTGATAAGACTACTCAAGGCGGTTGTAGTTCAACAAGTGAAGTCTTTTACAGGCAGTGTTCCTAGGCGCGAAACGACCATTACGGAAAGACACGGCTCAGAGTGACAATAACAGCGACGGGCATGCTGCAAAAGCTACTCCTTTATTTGTCCTTACACAGATTCTCCTTCAAGAAACATCCTTCCTGGTTGAAGACTGTCTGGCGGGGAGGAACGTTTTTGAATCAGTACGGACTGTTTTCATGCAGCACCTGTTTACGAATTACACGCCATGACTTTCGATCACTCACTTTATTACGGACCACCCATTCGGGTCGAGATGGCGACCCGAATGGCTGGCTATAGGACGATCTATCCGGTGACCATGGATTCGGGCTTGACGTGTCTGAAAGTTCCCAAACACTATGATGGACGTTGTTTCACTCTGGTCTCGAAGATCTTGCAAGATACACCAGCAAGTATTCACAGAGCTGCCCACGAGACCAGCCAGTCATAGAGAATGAGACCTTAAAAGCACTAGCCTAGAGAGATTCCGGGTCCTCCCATGGTCCGGGTCGACCCCCGATTCTGTCAGGCCCCCTCCAAAGCTCAGCTAAATCTTCTTGCGCCTTTTTTATTTGACCTTCCAAGTTACAGGAGTAGAAACAACGTATCCGAGTGTATCTGATCTCCCACCACGTTTGGCCTTCACGAAACACTCCAGGAACGTCCTTCAAAGACTGACCCAAATTTTCAGGTCTTATAAATAGAAATGTTGAGAGTAAACACCAGAAGTGAGGGATGATGGCTCAGTTGCGAGGGATGATGGTTTGTGTCACTGGAGCATCGGGTTTCATTGGATCCTGGATTGTCAAATACCTCCTTGACAAAGGCTATACTGTACGTGGAGCAGTCCGAGATCCAGAGGATTTGCACAAGGTGGAACACCTCAAAAATCTCAAGGGGGCCAACCAGAGGCTGGAGCTCGTAAAAGCTGATTTGCTCGACAATAGCCTAGTCGCGGCAACTGCAGGTTGCCAAGTTGTGATCCACACGGCATGCCGCTGTCCAGAGGCGAATTTCCGAATCACTAATCCGCAGACCGAGCTGATCGAGCCTTCAGTGAAAGGCACACTCAACGTCCTGAAAGCCAGCTTCAGTTCTGGAGTTTCCACTGTTGTGATGACGTCCTCGGTGGGTGCCATGTATTTGGATCCAACTCGGCCTCTGGAGCAGACAGTGGATGAATCATGCTGGAGCGATGTGGAGTACCTTGTCCAGATCAAGGAGTGGTACTGCCTGGCGAAGACTCTGGCTGAAAAATCCGCATGGGAGTTCGCTGCTGCCCAAGGCAATGGTATCAAACTGATTGTGATCAACCCAGGAGTCGTGATGGGTCCAGTTCTTCAGGCCAAGCTGAATGCGAGCAGCACCCACATTCTCAAGTATCTGACCGGATGCGTGAAGAGCTACGCAAATCGCTGCCAGGCATATGTGGACGTGAGGGATGTGGCACTGGCTCATGTTGCGGCTTTCGAAGATCCAAAAGCATTTGGGAGGTATTTTCTGGCAGAGAGATCGATCCACAGGGCGAGGCTTGTGGAAATGCTGGCAGAGCTGTACCCGCAGCTCCCAGTTCCTAAAATCTGCTCGGACACCAAAAATCCTGAAGCCGTTCCACACAAGATATGCAATGCCAAAGCCCGTCAATTGCTGGAATCAGAGCTGATAAACATTGGGAAGTGTCTGTTTGATTCAGTGGAGAGCTTCAAAGAGAAGGGATTTCTGTAAGCAATTGAATAATAATATAAAATAAATGTTTTAATTCAATGAATTTGAAACAAGTTATTGAAAAAAAAATTAGACTACAAATAAATTCAGTATTTATTTATTTATTTAAGAAAAAAAAAAAAGACTTCAAAAAGTTGTCTCATACTTAAGTCTTTGGATTTGGACTTGTCCATGGATCGATTTCAAAGTAGAACTTCCGAAACAGAAACAGAAGATTCAACAATTGTCTGGAAATGCAAACAATGTGTGGTATGTCACCTTCTGTGATGGAAGAGTCTCATGGTTCCACTGGTCAAAATCTAGTTCTCTATCGCTATAAAAAGCGTAGAATTTGCTCACTTGTTTGTAGAGCTCCATTTGATTTTATAGTGCTCCCTGAAAGTTTCACAATCCACCTGTGGCACGCTGTTTCATCTTCACCATTCACCTCGGATTTCATGGCTGCGTTTGCTCCTGGTGAAGAGCTCGTCCTCTATGCTACTATCCCCCTCGCTCTCAATGCGGTGGTGAAGCTGGGAGCCTTGGACGAGATAGCAGATTCGGTCCTCTCTGCTTCTGAGATTGTTTCCCGGATTACAAACAACCCATCTGCGAATGTTGCGTTTCTGGACAGAACTCTCCGAGTTCTGGCAACTTACGGGGTTGTGAACGAGACCGTTGTGCAGGGGGAGCGCAAGTATGGGCTCTCCGAGATAGGCAAGCGTTTTTCTCCAGGAACGAAATTGGCAGCGCGTGGTTTGAGTGTCATGTGCAATCACCGGATCTTCCTCAAGCCTTTCGAGCATCTTGCCGAAGGCATTCTTGATGGTGGCGAGCCATTCCGCAAAGCCCACGGCAAAACCGCATACGAGCTTGTCGCTGAGGAGCCGGAATTCAACAACAGCTTCAACCTCTGCATGGCCGATCATTCCAAGAGGTCCAGTGCTGTGCTGCTGGATTGCTACAAGGGGTTTGCAAGCATCAAAACTCTGGTCGATGTTGGTGGCGGGAATGGAGCATTGCTGTGTGACATTCGAACTCGCTATCCGCATATCAAAGGCATAAATTTCGATCAGCCCCATGTTGTTTCTCAGGGAATTGCATCTGAAGGTATCCTCTCACAGATTTTTCATGCTCGATCATTCAAGCACTCTTTGTTTACTTCTTCCAGGAGTGGAGCATGCTGGTGGCGACATGTTCGGATCAATTCCCCAAGGAGATTCAATCATGTTGAAGGTAAAGGATCCAGAAACAAATTCTCCTTGCCAATCTGTTGTTTCATTCCTTTCTAGTGGATTCTCCACAACTGGAACGACGAACAGTGCCTGAAGATCCTGCAAAACTGCTACAAATCCCTTCCTGCTCAGGGAGGGAAAGTCATTGTCGTGGAAGTTTTACTACCTTCTGAAGCTTATCAAGCTGCCAGTGAGTTTGAGCTGCGAATCGGACTGCTCCTAGATCTTGTCATGATGGTTAATTTCAACGGCAAGGAGCGGACCTTTGAAGAGTACCAGGCGCTCGCCGAACAAGCTGGTTTCAACAAAGTGCATCTTGTCAACGTCTCCAATGGACTAGCAATTCTGGAGTTTCACAAGTAGCAAAACAGGTCACTTTTGGCTGTCACCGTAACACAATGAAATTGTTTTTAACTTTTGATGTCGAATCATTCATTCATTTATATATGCCCACCATGAAACATGAAATCAAAAGATTTAGAAATGTTATTTTGAAGAAGATTGCCAATGTAGTCCATGTCTTCCCAAATCCATATAGAAGACAAGAGGACTATACAGTCATGATTATAAGCACCATTAAATTTAAGCTGTGTTTAAGCTCAATGTCAATTTCCTAGTGGGAGAATATACTTTAGGATGGTTTTGCTCAGCTCAACAATTTATGTGCCAGTCAGTATTGGAAAGTAGCATTCATTCATATTCTGTTTACATGGCCTCATGGCACCCCCCCAAGAAGATGTGACCTAGGGATTTAAATAAGCTGCATAAATGATTGTCTCCATAGTAGATGTTTTCTGTTGTCTCCACCTAAAGTCACCCACTTAGTCTCTTGTGCTTTTAGCCTGTGACTCACTGTTGCCCTTTGGGTAATTGTTCATGTAGTGGTCACAAGTGTATACATCATGTCTATTAGAAGGGCTTGGGCTTCTATCTCTACACAATTGCATTGCCTATTTTGTATTGCCAAGGATGACATGAAGGTTAGAGCCCAAGGGGATAAATGGTTTTGGATTTGGTCTTGGATTCAATTTTAAACTTGTTCTAAGACTCATTATTAGACTTGGTTTCATCTTATTCAAAATTTTTATTGTTTTGATTGTGATTTCAAAATCCTAAGCCTTGTAAGCCTTGAGTCTAAACACAAGCTTTATGTTGCTCTAATTGGTGAGGTACCCTCTTCTTCGTGTTAGGCCACTAGCATATCAAAATTGTGCCAGACACTGTCTGACATCATTTTGCATACAAGTGTTAGATACAGAGAATTGGTGCTCATATGATTAAAAGTGTATGGGACCCTTA